AGTGTGCTTTGCGTCTCGTGAAAATACACTGTTTATCTATTTTGTCTTCTGTTTTACACTAGCTATTTCCGAGCGATTATTCACTATTAAAATAGGTCATTTAATCTACTTCTCGTTGATTTCACGGGGCAAAACATTTAAGGAAATCAGCTGTAATATTTGATATCGGTGAAAACCGAAAGGTAAATCGAAATTTTACTTGTTACGTTATCCAAAGCGTCAATTTGTAGAGTGATCTTTTTGAAATTGAAGAAACCTGAAAACTCCACACAAACCGTGACGTGTTTCCGGAATACGGGAACAGTCTGTTCGCTTTCGTTTGCAGCATGAAACATTAAATTATACCGGACATTAATTTAGGATTTGCAGCGACGAAGTAAACGACTTCTCCAGAATCCGCACCGAATTGGCTTTGTCACTGGCATCAGGTAGTTCAGTCACTACCACCAACACCACCAACAACAACAACAACGTGATTACCCGTCCGCTCATCCAACGGCCGATCCCAGTTGTCCTAAACGGACTAAAACAGTCCGTGCGTGGACAGATCCTGTGTTAAAAAATCAATACAGATCAGTAGAAATTTCAAGTGTATTCCCTGGCCCGCTGTCGGAGAACATTTGATAGCCACTCTGCCAGTCTGTTGTACGAAAAACACGTGGGCAAATCTGTTTTCGTCAAAATCAAATGAAACTATTCTCCAACTGTCCCAACCCTCCCCTCCGCCTCCCTCCGTCCCTCTTTCCCGATACCGGAACCTCTTGTGCAATTCACATATGATATCTGCGCTTCTGCTCAAACCTATTGTTGACCACACTTTGTATAGACAAGCGAGTCAGGTTCCATACAAACAAAAAAACCAATGGCCAGCAATCCGGTAAGCAGTTGGAAGGTTTTCACATGATCACCGGACTTTCTCCTGTGTGTTGAATGGCAGCCCTTTGATTGGTCACTTGTTCTTTCCTGAAAATTGTATCTTTTTATATTCAATAAAAAGAAATAAAATTAAAAATTTTAAAAAATGTATTTTTTTTTTATCAATTTGTAAAAAGTATTCACATAGAAACGTTGAATTAATGCAAATGGTTAGCCTATATTAAGTAGTACCCAAATGACTGTTCCAAAACCTCTTTCAGAGCATAAACCCGATTTCCTGCTTTATGGTAAATATCACATGTTCACAGATGCGACACAAATGGGTTCTGTTATAGCCAAGCCTACACCTCGAGCGACCCCCCCCCCCGCACCACCCGATCCTAGGACATGTACAATACTCAAGCTTATTTCAATTACACGTCTTCCTTTGGCTTACTTGAAGGTTATAACAAACATACACGTCTGTTATGTCATAGGATTTTTTTTTATATGGACAGAATTCTTTTCACACTCGACTGATTTTAGACTGTGTATAATAATATTTATACAAA